TGATATATCGTCTGATCTGTACCAGATTTTTGGTGCTTGATTAGTGACGACTTATGGACACAGTGGTGTTGTTGTTTATTATTTGACTCAAGTGCGCCCCCTACATTATTACAGTTGTTATATATGCTGTTGCAGCTGATGTTAAAGGTTCTGTGAATGCGCACTCCGGAAAATGGGCGCGTGACAGTAGCGTGAGCGTTCTCAATGGCGACCGGGAAGAGTAGCTCGAATTCCCGCGGTCGCCATGAGGCCGCAGCGGCGCTTAGCTGCGAGGGCCTTCAACGCTGCTTGCAGCTTTAATTGGAAGTTGTTGTTTTTTTTTTGCTAATTTTAGCTTTTTCAGCTAATTCCACTTTTTTTTAGCTCATTTCAGCTCTTTCCACTTTCTTCTGGTAAGCTTCTTTCTTAGTTTTCAGCTGTTTTTTTTTTTTTTTTACTAATATTTTTTCAGATAATTGTACTTTTTGTGCTCATTTCTGCTTCTTTCAGCCTAATTGATCAAACATGTGTTCTTTCTGATTTCTTCTGCTAATTTAAGCTTGTTTAACTTTTTCAGCTACTTTTTTAGAATTTGTTTAGCTAATTTCAGCCATTTTCAGATAAAGTCAAGTTTTCATGGTAATTTTTGCTACTTTCAACTTAATTAATTTCTTTATGGTAATTTCAGCTTGTTATGCTCCTTCAGCTTTTTTTCTGCTAGTTTCAGCTTTTCTGCTATTTCAGCTACTTTTCAGCTATTTTTTTTGCTAATTTCAGCTTTTTTAGCTTCTTTTTTTTCTCATTTCTCATTATTTAAACCTAATTCAGCAAATATGTGTTTTTTCTGTTCACACTTGTATTCCATTTCATTTACAATCGGCATGTTTGTAGCTAATTTCAGCTGTTTTTCAGCAGGTTCTTTAGCAATAAGCATTCACACTGCATTTTTGCAGGAAATGCATTTTCTCTAGTTATCTGTAATTTTTAAAATTTCTTCTGAGAATGAAATACGCTGAACGTGAATGTGTCTGGGCGACATGAAATCTGGATGTTAACCTGTAGGCAGCGCCACATTCACAGCACAACTGAAGCACACTTGAACAGTTTGTGTATCCTTGTCTGTTAGCAAAATATCTCATGAACCAGAGGACACAATTTAATTAAAAAAAGAGAAAAGTCATAAATTAACGTACATCTACAACTGATTAACTTTTGGAGTCAACCCATGTCGAAACAGCTACGACATCAGCAAACACAAAAATGGCTAGAACTCGTTTGGTTTTACAGACACTGAGCTAAAATGTGGTGTGGTAGTAGCTGAGAGTCATTAAAAACTCTGAGCGTGACATCTCTTTATATTGCAGGAGATTTTGCTTAACAATACTTTCAACAACTTCAACTCTGTCCTTTCTCATCATAAGATGATATTGATCTAAAACTCTGGTATGAATGAACACCAGGCCCTTAATTAATGTCCCAACACTGTGTCACCTTTGGCAACATGCACAATCTCAGTGTACCTGTATAAATTCAGAATGTCTGCTAACTAAACATTTGTGTTGGTGAACATAAAGTCTGTGACTGTGCTGTCTTCATCATATCTAGTGACAAACAGTTCAGAACACTTTCAGATTACAGACTGGGTTTGCTAAAGTGTCCAGCCATGCATCATAGCGGTCTCTAAAGTGTTTTTTTTTTTATCCTAATAAAAGCTCTATAGAAGTGAGTTCTGACTGTTTAACTAAAAAGTAAAAATCTTCATCACCGTCGTGATTTCTTCTCAGGTGTTGCACTCCTCGGCACTCGGGGAACACAGGTTTATTGTTGAAACCGGTCATGAGTTTCTGACTGAAATGAGAGACGATGTGCCGCATCCAGCTCAGGATGGAAAGTTAATTTCTGGGTCAAAGCCCACAAACACTCATTCGATTGTGTGTAACAGTCGGAACGCTGAGTGTAAAGACGTCAGACTCAGTCCTCAGCATAAGTCAGCAATTCAAAGTTTTGTGCTTTTTTTTCCTGAAATAATGATTATATTAATGAAAATATTAATTATATGAATGAAAACATTAATTATAAAGCTGCTTTTGATGGTTTTTGCAGTTTAAATGTGTTTTTTAGTATGGTTTCCAGTGCAAATAATTTGTTATTTAACGTTAAAACGTAACATTGCACATGATGAGACATGGCAGTGATGTTTTGTTTAGATTTTCTAATCACGAAAGGATTTAAACTTTTTTTTCTATTTCTTGCTTTGTTCAAAATGCTTTCATTACATTATGTTTATATGAACCTTTTGGCATTTTTATCTGTTTCTGGTGTTTTTTAAATTTTTTATAATTGCTTCCTGTGCCAGACTTCTTGTCAAAGTGTACGATTGCTCAGTGGATTTTAAAATAAACCAATATTTTGTATTTTACGCTTTTCCTGTTATAAAGTCAGAACGTGTCTAAAGTTTAACAGAAGTCACATTTACAGCTCTTAATGAATTTTTAAGAAATGCTGGTCAAGGTCAAGTTTCTTTATTGTCATTCGCAACACATGTGGTACATGAGGTGGAACGAAACTGTGTACACAGGGTCCCAGTTACATCCAACAAAAGTATAAATTGTAAAAGAAAACAGTAATAACGATCTAAGATATGAACTAAGAATACGCTAAACACTTAGTGCAAAAACGCCGAACGTCAGATGGTCTCTAAGCACATGAAGGAAAGTCATTTCTAGTTTTCCTTTTGCAGGTTTCACACTCTATGTTGCAGAGTTATCATAATAAATGGGATGTTAATTGACTGCACTAGAGATGAATCACTGATGCTGCAACATGTGTTACCCAAGTCTGCAGTGCCAGCTGAATTCAGTTCACTTCAATTCAATTCAGTTTATTTATATAGCGCCAAGTCACAACAGAAGTCATCTCAGGGCACTGAACAGAAATTCATATATAAAAATAAGTTAACAGAAACATTCATACAGTATATAAAAATAATAATTTAACATTATTTATCTGATTGTGTGAGTATAAAACTGTCCTTAGAGTGTGATATAAAATGTATTCCTTGTAATAAAAAAAGAAAACATTTAAAAATGAAAACAAAACCAATTGCGGGGAATGGGATTCATGTATACTTGATGAAATAGGAGAAACCATTATTTGCCAAAAGGCACGGACGGGGTTCGAACCCGCGATCTTCGGTTTACGAGACCGACGCCTTACCACTTGGCCACCGCGCCTGCGCCGTGATCGGCCACCTTTGTTTTTTTAAAGAAAGAAAACGGCACTACGGTTGATAAATTTCTGCTTTTTTTTTTTTTTTTTTTGTAAATCAGTGAAATAGAGGCCCTGGAGATGCGGTGGTAAAAACGCGGTAAGTTTTGGGAAATAACATGTTTGGTTTTATGACGACACGCCGACAAAAAGAAAAACACAAATCTATTGTTGTAGTTTGACCACAAGAGGAGGCTGTTAGCATCTGCAGCCTGAAGAGTTGGTGTTCGTTTCAGCAGGCAGATCACAGCCACATGTGCACCATGACAGCATCCAACATCTGCAGGGTGCTTGTGGGAGGTTCATGTAAATAATGTCACTGTAGTCACTTGAGGGAAGGACAGTCACAGTTACAAGGTGTTTCCTTGCATTCAGAGTTAGACCGGGTTTATTTTTGAAAAAAAACAAAAAAAAAAACAATTTAACTTTAAATTTCCTTACTAGGTTTTCCACGTGAAACTTAAAAGAGAGATGCGAATGGACCAAGATACCTAAATATTTGTAGGAATCGACAAACTCATATAGAGACACCATTGGAGGAGAAAAACCAGAGGAAGAACTGCTGGGACCGACTTCCTGTTTGAAAAAAGCATCCCTTTGGTTTGACATAGATCCACGAGAACCCTGTCTGTGGTTGAAACTGGTTGAAACCACTTATGTTTTTTTTCCTGTGCTGCAAGTTGCTGAAGTTGTGGAAGTGGTCTCCAGCTACACCTGATTGACAACATCAGCTAAGGAAACAAACATCAAGAAAGCTCATCAGAGACTACTTCCTCAGAATGCATAGCTGCTCTGAGAAGCTCAGTCCTCACCTCCTTCTACAGGTGTGCAGTGGAGAGACTTTTAAGAAACAACTAAAGGCATTTTTATTCAGACAGGCTTTTATTTAATCTTGTTGTTTTTTTGTTTGTTTTGTTTTAATTGTCTTATCTTTGTGAAGCACTTTGTGATCCATATGTCTGTGAAAGGTGCTATAGAAATAAAGTTTTACTTACTTAGCATCCTGCGCTCCACCATCAACGTGTGGCATGGAGGCTGCACAGCTGCAGAAAGAAAAGCTTTGCAGAGAGTGGTGAAGGCTGCACAGACGTCTGTTGGACTCAGCCTCCCCACCATCACAGACATCTACACCTCCAGATGCAGGAAGAGAGCCACCTGCATCATGAAGGACCCCACTCACCCAGCACACACACTTTTTGCCCCGCTCCCCTCAGGAAGGAGGTTACAGAGCCAGAGCATTAAGTGTAGAACCACTAGACTGAGGAACAGCTTCTACCCTGAGGCTGATAGACTCATGAATCTCTAACCAGAATAATCACTGTGAAAAATCACATCATGTTGCTGCTGATCTGTTTCATGTTGCTGCTGATCTGTTTCATGTTGCTGCTGATCTGTTTCATGTTGCTGTGTTCATTTGTGCTCATCTGCTCATACAGACTCATGTTCGTGCTGCTGTTCGACATAATGTTTTTATGCTGTTAGTGCTTAGTGCATTATTTAGTTGATGCTTTTCTTAGTTATATCTTACTGTTTTTCTTTTACATTTTATTGTTGGATGTAACTGGGACCCCGTGTACATAATCTCGTTCCACCACACGTACATCATGTGGTGCGAACGACAATAAAGAGACTCCGACTCTGAAAATGCAGAAGTACCTGTTAGCTCAGTATTTCATTGCTAACTGGAGCGTTGATGTTGATCAAACTCTAAACTAAAACTGGAGTCAGAACTTTGTGGTTCTATAGGGAGACCAGCTGACTGTGTTGATATTTGAGCGATGGCTCATTCAGGACAAGGAATTATTTAATTCTTTAAACTTTAGTGAACTTATAAAGAAACTTTCAGACGTCACAGAAAAACAAATTCAGCACTCTTTAATTGTATTCATTCAGTTTAAACAATTATGGTGTAAAATTGTAACATTTTAATAAAAGTTTAACAAGCAAAGAAAGTAAACGAGAATTTTTTTTTTTTTTTTTTTTACGTAAATGTAAAGGAAAGTAATTACAACACAAACTAATCTTTTAATTGAGTTGACATTTCTTCTCATTTGAAACCCCAAATTTATAATCTGTAAATTTAGAGCAGGACCAGTATATTATTCTCAGTGCAGTCATTGTTTGTATACATTTACACATCAGTCTGCTATCATAGGTCATATAGTTAACACAAAGTAGGTGTATAATCTTTATTAAAACCCATCAACAAGTTTATTAGATCTAATCTGCTAAAAAAAAAACACACACGTGCAGTTTAAACCACTTTCTAAAAACTCACCTTAATTTTATAAAAGTTGAGATTTTTATGTATTGTAGTGCGATGTACTTTAAATAAACAAATAGGGACTCTTCTGATGTAAAATTTAGATATTTTAAGCCTAATATATTGACACACACATTTATCTTTAAACATAATTTTATGTTTATCTTTAAGCAACGCTGGAAGATCCATTTTGGCATTCTTCTTGTAACTAGCCACAATTTGATTTTATGTTTCGTTCAAGTAAACTTTATTCTATTTAAGTAACAATCTAAAAGTGTCACACATCCCTAAGTACTAATGCTACATTGTATTTTCAGAAAAGTGCAAGTTTAACATTTCTTTAATCTCCCTCTGACAGACAATACCAGTAACCAGACCTCAACAGAGCTCCAAAAGAGGATTGAATCCTTTACAGGAGGAGTCTTAAACATCTGGCCCAACATCACAGCTCAGCTCGTAACGGTCATCAGGAAGAGGCAATGTCCAGCTTTAAACCTCCCAAGTTTTAACTTTATAAAGTGTCAAATTCAAGTGGTGCATACATCCATTTGTAAGTGTCACATCGTGTAAGTATAAAGGCAGTCGACATTCCTATGATAAATGTTAGAGACACAAGGTGAGGACAAGAAAGTGAAGACACAGGAAGAAGGGGAAGGGATTGGGAGTTACCCCACTTGACTTGATGGTTGTCGGGGTGATTGTGGTAGTTAGGTTGATGCTGTTGGTGGTGGTGTCAGTGGAAGATGGAGACAACAATGTGCCCAGTGACTCCTTCAAAAATTGCTGAAAGTAATTCACTGTTTTAAAGACAAGCACTGGTGCCTGTCGGTTTTGCCTCGTGGAGGTGCCTGAAAATGTTAGCACGACCGCCTGGAACCAGGAGCCGTTCTGCATACACATTAGCGGGTCGCCAGAGTTCCCCTGAAGATACAAAGCAAGATGTTTGTATTAGTTTGCCTTATTTGCCACAAAAACCTGCCTTTGAGACCATATTCATTCAACCTGTCTTTATACAGGTTTGTCTCACTGAGCCTCAAGGACTCGTTTACAAGAGAGACCTGTTTTCAACAAAGAGTGATGACAACAACAAAGACAACAATAGACAAACATAAAGGAAAGCATATAAATTGAAAAAAAATCAATGGAAGAAAATTATATTTAAAAAAAACAGCTACATTATAAAGCAATATAAAATACTAAAAAAAAAAAAAAAAAAACATGTTTGCATTGTTTTTTTCCCAAGAACTTAACAGATGTTTGAAGCCGTTTAGAGAGGTCGAGGTCGAGAGCTTCAAATCTTTCTGCAAGATATTCCAGGAAACAGGAACGGAGTAGGAGAAGGCCATTTTGCCCAATTCAGTCCTCACTGAGGGAACACTGCAGGTAATAATGTTCAGAGAGCGCACGCTGTAACTGCACTCACGCAGAGACATGTAAGAGGAGCTGTATGAAGGCAGCAGATCAAGAAGTGATTTAAAGATGAAAATGTACCAGTGAGAGAGTCTGCGTGAAGTTAATGATGACCAGTTAACCAGTGAATACAGGGTGCAGTGATGAGTACGGTAGTTACTGCCAGTCATGAATCTTAGCACATCATGATAAGCAGCTTCCAACATCTGCAGAGTGCTTGTAGGAGCGTTCCTGTAAATAATGTCACCGTAGTTGATGGAGAGGAGGAAATGATGATGCATGCTCAATAATCCAGGCAGAAAAATCTAAAAAAGTTAAGTCAGGTCCTCTAGACGTTCAAAAAACAAACAAAACAAAAAAAAAAGTTGAATGAACTTTGATGTTTTGAACCACTTCAGACGTGGCTGCTTCAGACAAGTCAAAAGGGGAGAGAGCGGACTCCAGAAACCTTATCACCATCAAACTGGTTGGCCCAGTATGTGATTGTTACTTATGAGACTGAGTTTGTTGTGGCTCTTCGGACTGATGAAGTATTTTGGATGCAAGACAATACGTTTCAGCACAAAGAAACCATCCAGAGGACCGGACTTAACTTTGTTGGACCAATTAATATAAGTTATCTAGCTAAAGAAGCCAGCAGATTGTATTAAATCCTCACTTCATCACAGTCTCCCATTTCCTGATCCATCCAGCTAGCATTCAAGAACAAGATTCCCAGATACCAGGCAGACTAACATGCATGTTTTTGGTTTCAGGCAGACTAACATGCATGTTTTTGGTTTCAGGCAGACTAACATGCATGTTTTTAGTCTGTGGGAGGAAACCGGAGTACCTGGAGAAAACCCATGCAAGCACGAGAAGAATATGCAAACTCCATACAGAAAGACCCCAGTTCCAACCGGGGATTGAACCCAGGACCTTTTTGCTGTGAGGCAACAGTGCTAACCACTGAGCCATCGGGCTGCCACAAGTGGCCATCTGCTTTGACCGGCTGGGTTTGAGAGGACAGGAAGTAGAGAAAAACAGAATGGTGGGTCCAGGTGTAGGTGCAGGTGTACCCCCCATTGGAAGAAAGACAAAAACACATATGATGGATTTAGAAATAGAATATATAAATGACTATTGATATATATATATATATAACATATATACACGTAACTATTCGTATCTTGTGACTATGAACGAGGGTAGGAATGTTGTTTAACAACTAACAAGTAGATTGACACCTTTAACTCTCAGCTACAGTAAGTTATCTTGATCACAATAGGCTGGAACAAATTCTGCATCACTGACAGAAAATTCCCCTGTCAACATCTTTATTATTTGTAACCTGGGAAGTACAGCATGACTTGCTGAAATTCCTTAAGTTATCTTTTCTGTAAGGACATCGTGTGAGCAAAAATTAACATTTTTTTTGAAGATTAGAACCATGACCTCATACTTTAAGGTGTTTATCTAAAAGTGATAACTAGTTGTGTAACATTCAAAAATATACTGGGATTTGTTAAAAAAATATATAGTTTGGACAAAACTGGTGGGTTTTTAAGGGGTGTCCCATTTCACTGTAGAGTATTTAAATTCAAGGATTCAAGGTTCTTTATTCGTTGAAATTGCGTAAAGTGAAGTATTAAAAAATCATTACCGGTTGTGACTTTAATTTATGGGCCAAGGAGGGCAAAGTCTAAAGTTAAAATAGGATTTTCCTTCACATGAAAAATAAACTTTTACTCTATTTGGAACATCCCTTCAGTTTTTCTTCAGTCCATTGATCTTTTGTTCTAGTTCAGTTTAACATAGTCACATAAAAGAAAAATGAACATCAGAGCTGAACGATAGATCCAGTCCTCACTCCGTATCTAAAAGTTAGTCCAGACACACTGACGCAGCTGACTTTGTGATCTTTGAAGTCAGTTTTTATCGAATGTTTCAGTAGCTACTTGTGTCTTCTTTCCGTGAGAGAGGGTAGGAATGTTGTTTAACCAGTAGACTGACAGCTTTGACTTCCTGTTAAGCCGTCTTTACGAGAAAAGGCTGGTACATCACCATTAACAGTACTTAATCTCCCTGTCAACATCCCTTTATGTTCGTTCTTAACTTACAAACTAGGCCATGACATAACTTTTTTCTTGAGGCAACTTTTGAACTTAGTGTGATATTTTTAAGATTAAAGCCATAAATTGATCCTTGAAGGTGTTAATCTGATACCATCGACACAGAGAAATCCTCACTAACCCACCAAATATGTTTGACCATGTATGTATCCAGACACTGTGTGAATTTGAGTAATGATGGAGACTCATGACCAATTCCAAATCAGGCGTTCACTGAGAACGATTCTGACTTTCTGCCAGCAGACAACCCACTTGTTTGATTTGACGGTATGCGTACAGAATGGCTGTTGTGTGCAGAGTTGCAGACAAACTGGTGCCTATACCTCCAGCAGTCACTCTGGACAGGTCTCCAGTCCATCACGTTGGCACATAGAGACAAACAAAACAAACAAGCACCCACACGTGGGGACAAGTTAGAGTTCCTTCTAAAAACTAACATGCTGTTGGTTTGTATGAGGAAACCAGAGCAGAGAAACCCACTTGTGCACAGTGAGAACATGATCAAGCATGAGAGCAAACTCCACCCTGGACAGTAAGATTCACACAAGCGTCTGAAGAAACAGATTTCTGAGGTCAGTAAGTAGTTGATAATCTTCACCTGCTCCAGTGTAAAGAGTGCGGTACAAATGCTGTCACTTATCGACACGTTCCCACAGTCCAGCACTGATGTCGGGAACTCCAGCAGAACCTGTTCGTCTAAAGTTGAGAGAATTAAGAAAGTTATTTCAAATTATTACCTTAACTGGAATTGACATTCATGTTTATTCTAAGACTTTTGGGGTAATTATATCAATCTTTGTGTTTTAGACTCACTTCCTCCTTGCCCAGTGCTCCAACCAGCAGCCCAGCAGGTCGATCCCACCGGGAAGGTTCTTCCGATGTCCAGACAGATGGGCTGGATGTAGTTGTTCAGGACGGGTTGGGCTGACAGCTGAAGAACCGCGATGTTGGACCCCGTCAAGTTGCTCAGGGTAATATTTGTCACATTCAAAGACACCTCAAAGGGGTTTGAGCCGTTCTGCTTCAGACGACCCAAAATGACCGTCCAGTCAGAGGCATTAGGAGAGCTGAGGACAGAAGAGGAAACACAATAGAGTTGAAGAGAGTCTAAAACATTTTACTGGTTTAAAGCAAAAAAATCACCTTTTAGGTTTTGAGTGTTGTGCAATTCACTTGTACAAATCTCTCAAAAGTGGTGTTGTAACACCAGAGTGTATAATTCAGTATCATTTTAGGTTAAAAAAAATCTGGATGGGGAAACATTTACCAAAACCCATGATGTCACAAAATAATTTTCAAAACTCTGATGTTCTAACTTTTAATCTCACCAAGCTGAACTGACTAAACACCAGCCTCAGCTCACCCTGAGAAGCAGTTGGCGTTGGTTAGCACAGAGTTCTCAGTCACCAGCGTCCCACCACACACGTGCTGTCCATTTTTCTGCAGACTCGCCATCCATGGCCACGCACCAGCTGTCACCACCGAACTTCCACCAGAAATACGAGTGTTCAGAGGGGCTTTACCACAGACCACCTCTGGAGAGAGAAACATACAGGTAAGAGAGGTTTCCACCAGTGGTACACATTAGTTTCTGTCCATGAGGCTGACACATTGTCCAGTTTTAAGACTGGGCTTAAGACTTTCCTTTTTGATAAATCCTATAGTTAAGGTTGGCTTGGGTTTTCTGAGCTGTCCCTAAGTTATGTTGCTATAGGCTTAGACTGCAGGAGGACAAACTGACTACACTTTTCACTCTGTTACTGCCTTTACTTACTCTGCTCAACCTGTTTTATATTTGTAATTTTCTCTATCCTAATATGTGTTTTTGTTTTTCAGGTTCACCTGCACCTATATCTGGACCTGCCATTCAATTCAATTCAATTCAGTTCTATTCAAAAATACTTTATTAATCCCAGAGGGAAATTATATGTTGTGGTAACTCATCATCCTGGTTTCATTAATGAGTTGTTATAGATGCTGATGGCTGTGGGCAGGAAGGATCTCTTGTAGCGGTCTGTCCTACAACGGATTTGAAGAAGCTTCTGACTGAAGACACTTTGTTGTTGTATGACAGTCTGATGAAGAGGATGCTGAGGGTTGTCTATAATATTCTTCATTTTATGAAGAATCCTTTTTTGTACAATCATCTCCAAAGGTTCTAGAGGAGCCCCCAGAACTGAGCCAGCCTTCTTTATGAACTTGTTATCATTTTTAAGTCACTTGCTCTGGTGCTGCTACCCCAGCACATGATGGCAGAAGAGATAGCCCTCTCTACAACAGACTTATAGAAGATATGCAGCATCTTGCTGCAAACGTTGAAGGACTTCAGCTTCCTCAAGAAGTACAGTCTGCTCTGTCCCTTCTTGTAGATGACACTGTTGCATCTCCAGTCCAGTCTATTGTCCAGGTGAACTCCAAGGTATTTATACTTCTCCACCACCTCCACTTCTTCTCCCATGATGGAAATAGTGTTGGACCTGTTCCTGATTCTCCTGAAATCTACAATCATCTCCTTTGTTTTGTTCACATTTGTTTTGTTCTGTGTTCGTCTGTCTCTCCTTCCTGTCCTCTCAAACCAGCCGGTCAAAGCAAATGGCTGTTTGTCCTGAGCCTGGTTCTGCTGGAGGTTTCTTCCTGGAGTTAGTGGGAGAGATCATATCTCTCCAGTTTTAGCTTCTCTCCACTGGCTCTCTGTCAAATCCAGAATTGAATTCAAAATCTTACTTCTAACCTACAAAGCTCTCAACAACCTAGCTCCATCTTATATTACAGATCTTATTGTTCCATATTTTCCTAACAGAGCACTTGGCTCTCAGACTGCAGGTTTACTTGTGGTTTATGGAGTTTCCAGAGGCAGAATGGGAGGAAGCGCTTTCAGTTATCAGGCTCCTCTCTTGTGGAACCAACTTCCAGTTTCTGTCCGTGAGGCTGACACATTGTCCAGTTTTAAGACTGGACTTAAGACTTTCCTTTTTGATAAATCCTATAGTTAAGACTCTGGCAGCAGCATTTTGGATCAACTTTTTAAAAGAAGTATTTGGACACCAAAATAGTAAACCATTGCAATAGTCCAGTCTAGACGTGACAAATGCATGAATCAGTTTTTCTTCATCATTTTTAGATAAGATGTTTCTAATTTTAGTGATATTATGCAGGTGGAAGAAGACAGTTCTAGTAACATTTTTATTGTGGGGGATAAAAGACATGTCCTGATCAAAAATAACACCAAGATTTTTAACATTAGAGCTGGAGGACAGACTAATGCCATCCAAGAAGGGTAAAAGACTGAAAAATGTATTCCTATGATGCTCAGGTCCAAAAACTAAAACCTCAGTCTTGTCTGTGTTCAAAAGCAGAAAATTTAGGGTCATCCAGGTTTTTATGTCTTCAAGACATGCTTGTAGTCTAAGTAGCTGATTGGATTCATCAGGTTTCATGGACAAAAATAACTGTGTATCATCAGCATTACAATGAAAATTTATCCCATGCTGTTTAGTAACTTTACCTAATGGAAGCATATACAAGGTAAAGAGTATTGGTCCAAGCACTGAACCATGAGGAACTCCATGACTAACTTTGGTGTATGATGAATTTTCATTATTGACATTTACAAACTGGAATCTATCATATAAATATGACTTAAACCATTTAAGAGCTGTTCTTGTGATTCATATTAATTCTTGTAATTCATATTAACTCTTGGAAGTGTAAATATCACACAATATCAACAAAGAGCTCAAAATACACACAAAAGTTGATATTTTTCACAATCTAAACATGATTGGTACTCACGATTAGGCTTGGTGCTTGGTGGGAGGGTAGTTGTTGTTGTTGTTGTTGTTGTTGTTGTTGCTGTTGATGTGGTCGTTGTAGGTGTGGTTGTTGTATGGGAAGTTGGTGGGCTGGTTGTTGTGGTTGTGTTTGTTGTAGAAGTTGTGGATGTTGTTGATGTAGTAGTTGTGGTTGTAGTTGATGTGATTGTAGTTGTCGGGGTTGTGGGGGTGGTGATTGGTGGCAAGCCTGGACAGGAAACACTGAGGTCACTGTTGGTCCCATTTGATGTAAAAGTAAGGAAGCCCGGCTGGTTGCTGGTAATCTGGGTGTTGATCCATTTTTGGTACTGGGATACCCTGGTGTAGACTCCTGGATAATTTGGCAGGGCACATCCTACTCCAAAGCTCACAATTCCTGACTGAATCCATCGATTACCCTGCTTGCTCACCATCGGACCTCCTGAATCCCCCTTTAAGAGCAGAAACATTTAGTTCAGATCAGGTGAGGAGGAGGAATCTTTGCAAAGAATCAAATCTGATGTTAACAGGTAGGGGTGATCACCTGACAGGAGTCCTTCCCTCCCTCAGATAACCCAGCACAGATCATATTGTTAGTGATGTGGCCCACTCCATAGTTACAGTTACACTGTCTGTTTCCCACAACTGGAAGCTGCACCTCCATTAGGTTTTGAGGTGGAGGAAGGCCCGCTAAGGAGACACAAATACAGTTTATTAAAAAAAGTCAAGGGTGACCTAATAAAGGTTCAGACTATATTACTAAACATAACTGAGTTATGGGCAATTACAATTAATATGCAGAATATTGTCAAAACTTACCACTCTGATAATGCCTTTACTTGGTAAAAAAAAAAAAACTTCTCACTTCTCTGGTGTTTTTCAGGCTGAAATGCTTACAATATAAGACTAATTGGTCGAAAATAAAATCTCAAAATTGTCCAAGGACAGTTAACTTATTTCTCAACTCCTCCTTACCATATCTTGGGAGACCAAGACTTGTCATCATCTTCTTTTGTCTGCTGTTCCCTCTTCATGGATCTCCACAGCAAGTCATCCTCCATCTCACTCTGTCCTCTGCATCCTCTGTCCTCACTCCAACTACCTCCATGTCCTCTCTAACTGTATCCATATACCTCCTCTTTGTCTTTTTCCTGGCAGCTGCATTTCTAACATCCTTCTACCAAGATACCCACTGTCCTTCCTCTGGACATGTCCAAACCACTGTCCCTCCTATGGACATGTCCAAACCACTGTCCCTCTTCTGAACATGTCCAAACCATTGTCCCTCCTCTGGACATGTCCAAACCATCACAGTCTGGCCTCTCTAACTTTATCTCACAGTTGTTCAATCTGTGCTGTACCTCTGATCATCTCATTCCTAATCTTCTCCATCCTTGTCACTCCTAAGGAGAACCTCAACATCTTTATTTCTGCCACTTCCAGTCCTGTCTCCTGTCTTTTTGTCCATATCTATGTCTCCAGACTATACAACATAGCTGGTCTCACCATTGTCCTGTAAACTTTCCTTTGACCTTTGCTGACACCCTTTTGTTACAAATCACTCCTGAAACTTTTCTCCATCCACTCCATCCTGCCTGGACTCTCTTCTTCTCCATTTTAACACACTTCACATTTTCCTGGACAGTGGACCCAAAGTCCTTGAAGTCCTGCACCTTTGTGACCTCTGCTCCTTGTAGCCTCACTGTTCCACTGGCCTCCCTCTCATTCACACACATGTACTCTGTCTTACTATGGCTGACTTTCATTCCTCTTTTTTCAAGTGCATACCTCCACCTCTCCAAGTTCTCTTCCACCTGTTCCCCGTTCTCACCACATTTCACAATTTCATCTGCAAACATCATAGTCCACGGGGATTCCTGCCTGAGCTCATCTGATAATCGGTCCATCACCAGAGCAAACAAGAAGGTGCTCAGAGCCGATCCTTGATGCACTCCCACCTCCACCTTGAAGCTATCTGTCACTCCTACAGCACATCTCACCACTGTCCTGCTGTGCTCATACATGTCCTGCACCAGTCTAACATACTTCCCTGCCACTCCAGATTTCCTCATGCAGTACCACATCTCCTCCCTTGGCACCCTGTCATATGATTTTTCTAAATCCACAAAAACACAATGGAGTTCTTTCTGACCCTCTCTGTACTTCTCCATCAGCATCCTCAAAGCAAAGATGGCATCTGTGGTGCTTCCACAACTCTCTCCTAGATCTTCATCGTGTGGCTCATCAATTTAATTCTTCTTCATTCCTCAGGCATTTTCTAACCCTCAGACATGCCATTGAATGTTTGAGACAAAAACCTCACTGCCATCTCTCCAAGATATTTCCAAACCTCCACTGGTATGTCATCAGGTCCTGCTGCCTTCCCCTTCTTCATTCTTTTCAGAGCTTTGCAGACATATACAATATCTTAGATCTTTTAGCGTATTGTTAGCGTTTGTTTAGCATATATCTTAGTGTATATCTTAGATCCTTATATACTGTTTATTTTCATACTTTATACGGTATTTTTGCTATTTTTGGATGTAACTGGGACGTTGAGTACACAATTTCATTCCACTTCATGTACCACATGTGAGGCAAATGACAATAAAGATACTCGAACTTGAACTTCACCCTCACTAATCTTTCCCACTTCCTGGTCCACAATTTCTTTGACCTCTACTCTTCTTTCTCTTTCATTCTCTTCATTCATTTGCTCCTCAAAAACCTTCTATGTTCCCATCACACTTTCCTCACTTGATAGAATATTACCATTCCTATCTTTAACAAGCCTATCCCTCTATCTCAACAGTCTATATAAGTTATTCTGTTCCTCCTTAGTGTCGAGCCTCCCATACAACTCATCATTCACCTTCTGTTTCACCTTAGCTGCACTCGTCTTTGCTCTACGTTATATCTCATTATATTCCTGTTTCCTCTTTTCAGTCATCTCACTGTCATATTTCTTGTTGAAGTCACCTGTTTGTATTTACAAATATTTCTATCCTTAAGGTGTTTATTTTTGTCTTTCTTTCAATACGTAGGGGGTACAACTGGACCTGTCATTCTTTGTTTATTTCTCCTTCCTGTTTTATCAAACTCAGCCGGTCGAAGCAGATGGCCGGTTGTCCTGAGCCTGGTTCTGCTAAAGGTTTCTTCCTCATGAGGGAGTTGTTTCTTTTCTACTGTCACCTTCATGCTTGCTCAGGATGGGAGACTGTGACAAAGTGAATACTCAACACAATCTGCTGCTTCCTTTGATAGATACCTTTTACTAATTGTCTTTTATAATGTATGTAAAAGTTTTTGTACAGTGCACTGAGACGACTTCTGTTGGGACTTGGAGCTGCAGAATAAACAGTGATAGCTAGATATGGGCACCAGTGACCCCCACGACCCAAAAAGTAAGAAGTGGGTAAAGATAATGGATGGATGGATAGATGACTTTCTTCTTCTCTTCTTTCTTTCTAACCTCTTTCTCTGAATAGCGTCCTGCACTTCACTATTCTACTACCAGATTTCCTTATCATCCATTCTCTGTCCAGCTGACACACCAAGTACCTTCCTACCTGTCTCTCTAATTACTGTTGATGTAGTAGTCCAGTCATTTGTAAGCTCTTTCTTACCACCCAGAGCCGTTAACAGCTCTTCTCTGGATTTCTCACAACATTCTTCCTTCTTCAGCTTCTACCATTTGGTCTTCTTCTCTGATTTTACTCTTTTTCTCTTCTTCACAACAACAGTCATTCAACACACAACCATCTGATACTGTCTGGCTATGCTCTCCCCTGCCACAACCTTAAGGCTCCCACAGACTCGGGCAGTCCTCAGTCCACGGAGGTCTGCACGTACCAGATTAGACTCGAAGCAGACGCCCGCAGGGCATGTCCATGCAAAGATCAATTTTTACGACCATGTAAGCGTACTTGGTGTGGCACAATAAACTGCCCGGTGACCGACTGTTTTGTATGCAACACCAGTGTATTAATATCCTGATGCATGCTCAATAATCCAGATAAAAAAAATCTAAAAAACTTAAGTCTGGGCCTCTGGACAGGTTAAAAAAAATTGTTTTGTTTTTTGAACCCGTCCAGTGGACCAGACTTAACATTTTTAGACCATCCATCCATTTTCTTCTGCTTATCCGGGGTCAGGTCATGGGGGTAGCAGCTTAAGTAAGGAGGAACAGACTTCCCTCTCCCCAGCCACTTGGGCAGCTCCTCCGGGGAAATCCCAAGGCGTTCCCAGGCGAGCCGAGAAACATAGTCCCTCCAGCGTGTCCTGGATCTTCCTCTGGGTCTCCTCCAGGTGGGAGGTAACCGGAACACTTCACCAGGGAGGCGTCCAGGAGGCATCTAAACCAGATGCCTGAGCCACCTCAACTGGCTCCTCTCAACATGGAGAAGCAGCGGCTGTACTCTGAGTCCCTCCCGGATGACCGAGCTTCTCACCCTATCTCTAAGGGAGAGCCCAGACACACTGAAGAGAAAACTAATTTTGGCTGCTTGTATCCGAGATCTCGTTCTTTCGGTCACAACCCAAAGCTCATGACCATAGATGAGGATAGGAACATAGATCGACAGGTAAATTGAGAGCTTCACCTTTTGACTCAGATCTCTCTTCACCACAACAGACTGGTACAGCGCCCGCTTCACTGCAGACGCCGAACCTATCTGACTATTGATCTCTCGCTCCATTTTTCCCTCATTTGTGAACAAGACCCCAAGATACTTAAACTCCTCCAATTGGAGCAGGACCTCCTCCTCAACCCGGAGAGGGCACTCTACCCTTTTCCAGCTCAAGACCATAGCCTCAGATTTGGAGGAACTGATCCTCATCCTGGCCGCGTCACATTCGGCTGCGAACCACTCCAGCGAAAGCTGTAGATCACGACCTGATGAAGCCAATAGGGCCACATCATCTGCAAAAAGCAGAGATGCGATCCTAAGGCCACCAAAACAGATCCCCTCAGCACCTTGGCTGCACCTAGAAATTCTATCCATACAAGTTCTGAACAGAACTGTTGACAAAGGCAACCTTAGCGGAGTCCAACTCTCACTGGGAATGAGCCCGACCTACTGCCGGCAATGCGGACCAAGCTCTGACACCGGTCATACAGGGATCTAACAGCCCGTTTCAAAGGGCCTCGTACCCCATACTCCCAGAGTACCCCCCACAGGGTTCCACAGGGTTCCCCGAGGGACGCGGTTGAACGCCTTCTCCAAGTCCACAAAGAACATGTAGACTAGTTGGGCAAACTCCACGCACCCTCCAGGACCCTGCTGAGGGTGTAGAGCTGGTTCAGTGTTCTACAACCAGGATGAAAACCAAACTGCTCCTCCTGAATCCTAGGTTTGACTATTCACCATTATTCACCTGAACTATTTGACCCTTCTCTCCACAACCCCCGAATAGACCTTACCAGGGAGGCTTAAGAGCGTGATCCCCCTGTAGTTGGAACACACTCATCCTTTTTTAGACCATGTATTAAATTCCCCTTCTACATCCCTGATCTGGTTTAATTGCCTTATCTTTTGTTTTGTTTTTTTACCAAAAGGCAAGTGATCTTTTCCTCCTTGTCCGTTGAAGCCATGACTGAAATTGTGAGAAATGAAGGAATTTGTTACAAGCAAATTAAAATCAGGCCCGGTGTAGCTGCGGGAGAATCTAAAGATTTCCCAGTGGGCTGGTCTGATTTGTGGGCTGCAGGGCCAGTGCTCCCTGCTTTATTTTTTATTTTTTTAGAAATGTTTTATTAACAAAATATGAACACAGAACACTGCTGCCACTCCTCCTGGGTTGCCAGCTCTCGGGTTTTTTTTTTTTTTTTTCCCCAACCCGTCAATCAGTCCAGTAGGTGTGTCAGCAAATGACTAATTGGCGAACTGAATTTGTCCCATAAGTAAACGTCCCTTGCCTGAGGAGCTTGACTGCAGCCAGTCAGGGAGTATGCTCGAGTTATTATTATTATTAGTAGTAGTTTATTTGACAGGGACAATGCACACAAACATAGAACAGAACAAGTATGTGACTGATGCGTTGCACAAAGAGTTTATAACTATAGCTAATTCGCAAAACCAGTCCTTGGTTGGGCATTTCTAGGTTAGGCATTTCTATGAGTATGAACCGTATGCGGACAGTGCCCGCAGTTTCCATGTGAACTGAGGTCCGCCCGAGTATGTGGGAGTCCTTACTTCTTAACAAACAGACCACAGTCAGTGATGATCCACAACTTCTCCTCCACCATAATCCTCAGCACTGGCTCCCCTCAGGGCTGTATGCTGAGCAACTCTCCTGTTCACTCTGCTCACGTATGACTGTGCACCTATCCATCCAGGCTGTCACATTGTAACGTCTGCAGATGATACAGTGGTGGTGGGATGCATCACAAACAATGATGAGTCCAGCTACAGGCAGGAGGTGGAACACCTGGCGAGCTGGTGCAAGGAGAATAACCTTCACATCAATGTGGATGGCCGTGGCCTTTAGAAGGAACACCACCCCCCACCACCCCCGAACATAGGAGGATCTGCGGTGCATGTGGTCTCCAGTTACCAGTACTTGAGTGTGCACCTGAATGACAACTTCAGCTGGGGCAACAACACTACCAGCCTGATCAAGAAAGCTTATCAGAGATTCAACTTCCTCAAGCGGCTGAGGCGAGCTGGTCTGAGAAGCTCAGTCCTCACCTCCTTCTGCAGGTGAGCAGTGGAGAGCATCCTGTGCTCCAGCATCAACGTGTGGCATGGAGGCTGCACAGCTGCAGAAAGGAAAGCTCTGCAGAGAGTGATGAAGGCTGCACAGAAGTCTGTTGGAGTCAGCCTCCCCACCTTCACAGACATTTACACCTCTAGATGCAGGAGGAGAGCCACCTGCATCATGAAGGACCCCGCTCACCCAACACACACACACACACACTTCTTGCCCCGCTCCCCTCAAGAAGGAGGTTGAGGAGTATTAAGGAGCATTAAGTGTAGAACCAGTAGACTGAGGAACAGCTTCTACCCTGAGGATGTTAGACTCATGAATATCTAACCAGGAAACAAGAACGTGAAAAAAATCACATCATGTTGCTGCTGATCTATTTTGTGTTGCTATTTTCATTCGTACTCATATGCTCACACAGCCTCATGTTTGTGCTGCTGTTCAAAGTATTGTGTTTATTGTTTTTATTCTATTAGTGCTTTGCTTAGTTTTAGTTAACACTTTTCTTAGTTCAACATTTTTCAGTCAGGTCATCTGGACAGTTTCTTTTTTTTGTGCTGAAACTTTTCGCCTTCGATCCGGAAGGCTTCATCAGTCAAGGAAACACAACACAAAACTGATTCTTCCCCCAACAGCTTACTCCAAAGTGGAACAAACCAGTTATGTTGGTGCTAAGATGGAAAATGTTGGATTGTATACCTGGATTACTGAGCATGAACTTTGTTGTTTTCAACCAGTTTGACACGCCTGTCAACAAGGAAGAGGGCCGGCAAATGAAGGAGGGGGCATGACAAAGAGACCATCTTAGCACCAACTTAACTGGTTTGTTCCACTTTGGAGTAAGCTGTTGGGGGAAGAATCAGTTTTATGTTGTGTGTTTCCTTGACTGATGAAGCCTTCCGGATCTAAGGCGAAACGTTTCAGCACAAAAAAAGAAACTGTCCAGATGACCTGACTGAAAAATGTTGGATTGTATACCTGGATTATTGAGCATGGATTTTGTTATTTTCTTAGTTCATATCTTAGATCTTATTACTGTTCTTCTTTTAGATTTTATTATTGGATGTAACTGGGACCCTGTTTACACAATTTCATTCCACAACATGTACCACATGTGGTGTGACTGACAAATAAAAAAACTCTGACTCTGACTCCTTCTACGTTCAGACACATCACCCTATCTGAAACTATTTTCACTTCTACTACATTCTTTGTCAACTCCTCCTTCAGGACTACCCCTACTTCATTTCTCTTTATATCCACACCATGGTAAAACAGTTTGAACTCTGCTCCAATGCTGCAAGCCTTTCTGCCATTGCACCCACCCAGAAGGCTTCCGGACAGGGATTTGAACCAGGGACCTGCTCGCTGAGAGGCAGCAGCTCTACCAGTTGTGCCACCATGCTGCCCACACTAAGCACTAGTAGCATAAAAAAAAAATTTACGCCGAACAGTAGCACGAACATGGTGAGCAGATGTACGAAGGAACACAGCAACAT